TTTAACTAAAATCGCACTAGTGGATTCATAAAACCGTCGCGAAGTGACATTTGTGGCGAAATGGCAACGTTGCGAACAAAGTTGTATGAACGACCTATGGCAACTCCAGGTTGCAAAGGTAGAATTAAAAAAAAATGTAAATTTTTAAAAGTGTTTATTTCGAAGCAGCGTTAACTAATACACTTTTTACCCGACATCACAAAAAGGAGAAGGTTATCAATTCGTCGGAATATTTTTTTGACCCCGTTAATCGATTTCTGTAATTATTATTTATAAATAAAGGAGTTACTCACACAGGTGGTCCCACAATAATTCGGTTTAAATCCGATCATGAAGAAATTAACGATAATCTTAAATGTTTATATGGGAATTGAGGTCGGTTTTTTTTTGCTTAAAAATGACTTGTTCTTGAAGTATTCGAAGACAATAAAAAACATGTGTTTCACGACTTTGACTTTGCGATAATTGCCAGCTCAAATAATATGGCAATTGCGCGATTTTGTCGCAAGAAATTTTCTATACAAAAGTAATCAGCTGTGTCGCAAGGTTGCAAATTTTGCAACAACTTTGCGACGTTTCATGAATCCCACTACTGTTTATTTTATTTCGAGCTCAGCTCTGGCAATTGGCACGCCATTGAAATTAATTACGCACAAATAAAACAGAAGTTGCACACACACATATACATACATATGTACAAATTTGCCAATAGAATATAAAAGGATATTCCATAGAAATATTAATAATATTTATAAACGCTTAACATCTAAATAAAAGCTCACACATTTAAAAAGGCAAAATAAAATACTATTTACTCAGCTACACCCGAACTTGTGACACCTTCATACACTAAAATAAAATAAAATCGCAAAACAAATACAAATATTTAAAAAAAAAAAAACAAAACAAAAAATAAAACTTATCACACATTGCAATTGCATTGATTAATTAAGTAAATACACGTGTAGTTATTTATATGTACATATGTATATGTTGACATGGACGCATATTACTGATGGGGTTACGCCATTTGTGACCGAACGCGCTAAACTTACTAAACATATTAAAAATCTTAGAGCTTAGTTTAGTAGAGCACAGCCTGAGTAGTAAAATCAGCTAGCGATGGTTGACGCAGCGACGCGCTGTACGGTCGGTCATGTGACAGTCTCCGTTTCAACATAACCATTGTGTATGTAACCGGTCGAAGGGCTGCCCATTATGCCTGACTTGTTCAAGCCGGCGGATAGTGGCGACGGTTGTTCGCTGCTATCCAAAATGCGTTCGAACACCGCATCTAGCCGACAATGGTTGACGGTATAGTGTAAGTGGCCCTCATATTGCTCGGACAAAGCTTCCAGCTCGGTGAACAGACCAGCCAGAGTGATTGCCTTGTCGTTCGGTGTTGTTTGCGATGTATCGCTATCACTCTATATATGAAAATGTGAGGGAAATGTTTGTAGCTATTCGAAAACCCAAAAGAAAAGTACTAACCTCCTGTGGCTTGCACGTTTTGATTTTCAAACTAAACTTAATGGAGTGCGTATATGTATGGAAGTCAACACACTGTGGCAGGCGTAGATGAATAGCCTGAAACCGCAATAATAGTAGGTTATTTATTTCTATTTTTTCGTAATGCCTTTGGCTCCCCACACACTTACCTTCTCTACCGACTCAATCAACTGGTTATCCCCATAAATGACGACATCATAGTAGCCACCGTATTGTGTACTCAAGCTCTCCGGACTGCCACTGGTCAGTATTTGTCCATCCTTGAGCACTGCGATACGATGACAGATTGCATCAATCTCAGACACGGAATGCGAAGTGAGCACGACGGCGCGTTGCATTGCGAGCAGTTCGTGGATTGTGCGATAGACAATGGCACGCGTCACCGGGTCCATATCACTTGTGGGTTCATCCATTAAAACGACAGTGGTGCGACCGCAACAGGTTAGCGCTACCGTCAGTTTGCGGCGATTACCGCCACTCAAATTCTTAACCAAAACATGACGGTACGACTTCAGTTGGAACGACTCGAGTACGTGCTCTATAAGCTGTCAATGGTTAAGGAGAAATTCAAATAAAAAATTTGTCAAAATACAGTCTTCTGTTTTTGTTTTTTCATAAATAAATTTCAGTGTTTTATACTTTATAATTTCAAAATTATCAAAGCAAATTCCTTCAGAACTTATCTCCGGAAACTCATCCACCTCTAATAAAAAAGCACCATCCAACAAATTACGACAAAAACGCCAGCCAGTTATAAATCTAAACAAGCGCAGCGAAGCAAACCCCACAGGAAATAATGAACATGGCGAATTGCTGTAAGGATTGCGATCGTCTGCAGCCACGATCAGCGGGCAGTGCTCCAGTGCGGCCAGAGTTCCAGCAGCCCACCATGTATGACCATTTTCAAAATTTCCAAAGGTTCAAGATGCAAAAGCAGGAAGAGCAGGCCATTGAGAAGCGAAAGGAAGAACTACTCAAAATGAACGCTAATTTCACCAATTGGGCTCCCACCAACAGTAAGGATATGTTTGATCAATTCAGCACTCAAGATGTTGCGTTATTTCGCCAACAAATGCGTTTAGCACAAAATGGTGAGCGTTCGATGTTGGAGAGTCTGCCGACGCAAACGGATGTGGGCGCTTCAAGCGCCGGTGACACGGGCACTGATACCGGCACCGGCACCGGCACTGGCACTGGCGCAGGAAACAAGTCACTAAGGAAGAAGGTCTCGCTGCTGACTATTTCACACACGCCCGTACAATGTCCGATTGGCGCTTGTGGCCGCACTATAGGTGTGACATCGGTGTTATCGCATTATTTGCGCGATCACAGTGAAGATTTTGGTGTGCAGTGTCAAGAAATCTATGGCGGTAAGCGCTCCGTGTTGATTTTTGATCCGACTAATTTGGAATTTCGTGATAATGTGTGTTTGGGTGTGTTGGCGTATGGCGGTGTCAAGGAGAAGTGGTAATAGTGCAATGTATATCAGCATTCTCATATACATACATATTACCTCATTTACTTTATCGACTTTAGCTCAGATCCCCCCGCCGAGCGTGGCATTTGCATACACAACGCCTTTCTGCCAAAGCCACACGAACATCTAGACGCGCATTTGCCCATACTGATAATGGCCTGTCGGACATCGTGGAGTGCATTTTTGGAGGACAAGCAACTCGAGGCAAAAATAACAAATCCACAGAATTTGAATCAGCACCTGCTGGTCATTTGGTTGGTGAGCGTGCAATCCACCAAGCCAATTCATTGTACTCTGACCGCCTACGACAAGACGATGACCTCGTCGCGCAGCATCATCGCCCAAGTGCGTCAGCTAAACGAGTCACAAAATGCTAGTGAATTTTTGGTTAACGATGCGAATAGCTTACGCTTGAATCGTGGCGAAATCAATATACTCTCACACGATGGCAACGATTGCATTCATCTGGAGGTTATGATCAATGAATACGTTCAATAAAATTTTTTTCTTGGATTTTTGCGAAGATACAAGAAATGGTAAAACTTTTGTGATCACTTCCTATATTTCGAATGGAGGAAACTTATGGGTCCGTAGGTACGCAGACATATTAAAATAGCCTGCTCATTATCTGGACAAAGAGCTGATCCGATTTAGCTATGCTCGCTGGTCTATTTGAGCTTAAAATGGTCCCTTGGTTCTTGGTAGACTGCTATACTTATATTATGTATTGAACATTCGTCGGGGGCCAACAAGATCCGACCGCTACAGCATATCGATGAATATGTAGCTCGCATACAATTGTTCACTCTGTCGGCTGATTGCGGGCCACGTATGGTTAGAGGAGGCCTTTGAGAACCAGTTTCGATCTTACACAAGGTTAGCTAAATTTGGTAACTAGGTGAGTGGCTAACAGCGGCCATTCCATTAACCCCTGCGAGACGAAGCTGGATTTGTTTACTAGGACGTATAAGATCTCGTCAGTCGAAGCTTTCTGAAAGGGTCAAGCGACGAAAGTGGCTGCAAAGTATTGCCATTATCGGTATAACTTTACTGCGTAATACCCCTACATTAGCGCTTTACGTAGCTGAACGTTAGGCTTGGCGATACCGGGTGGTTAACAGGCTCGAAAACTGAAAACTGAACACTCTGCAGTTCTGGAGGGCTTTGATTAAATTCCTGGTCATACAGATTACTGCACCTCTTTAACGGCTTGCGGAAGTTTTCAGGAGACTATCAGGTCCCAAAACTGGTCAGCGGATATCTGACCACTCTCTCAACCGCCTAAGAATATGTTCTGATCTGGCTCATTTGGATTCCGGGCCACAGCGACATTGCAGAAAACTGTATGACTAACAAGGAAAGGCACCCTTGTAAAACTATCACCGAATAGAGAGCATCTGGGGACACTTTTGACCTCCGGAGGTTCACTCATTGACGGTTGGGCCCCATGTCAGCTCAACGAACCGTGGGTGAAAACTAGTCCAGCCATCTGTGGACGCGAAGACTCGTCTTTCGACATACAATAGAGTCATTTAGAGTCATGTCAGTGTAACTAACACATATTTATTTTCACTAAAGCATCTAAACAGACTCGCGAGTCAGAAACACCTGCTATCAGATACATATCCAAAAAATTTCAAAAAATTTCAGAGAAATTCTTGGAGTCCTTAAAACATATCAGAAAGTGCCTTTCAAGTGAATTTGAAAGGAGTTTTCCATCTTTAAAATTTCGAATTTGTTATGTAGGGGCTTACCTTATCGACGTTGGCGACACGTCGCAGTTTACCATAGAAGCGGATGCATTCCTCTACAGTGAGCAGAGAATCCAGAGGGTTCGTTTGCGGACAGTAGGCAATTTCTCCCTGCAATTAAAAAGTAGTTGTAATTAAATCTGTCATTTGCCTTCGCAATTCAATATTTTAGTTTTGATTGGTTTTTGAACGGTTACTTACATTGAAGTAGTTGACTGCGCCCACATTTGGCTGCAATTCACCAGAAAGCATTTTGAATATCGTCGATTTGCCAGTGCCATTCTTACCTAGCAGCCCGAAGCATTCGCCCGCCTTTACCGCAAAAGTGACATTCCTAATAACATATGGGCCGCGACCGTAGCACTTGTACAGATTGTCCACTTTCAAGACCTGTGGGGTCTCATCCTTATCTGCTATCTTAAGCGAATTTTGTATGGACACGATTTTCAATTCTTCCGCCTGCTTGTCCTCGTACTTTTGGTAGAAGGGGAGACGAATCAAAATCGATTCGCATAATTTATAAATTTGTCCATTTTCCAAAAGCACATTAATAATGATGAAGAAAATGCCGAGCAAAAATAATGCCAACATATGAGGTAGCAGTAAATCACTGAAAATGGGATGTTTGTATGATTCGATGTCGTAACGCTGGAAGACAAGTGAAACCATATAGTTTTTACAGATCTCCAACAGGCCATCGCCGAACGCGTGCTGCGGAAAAACGAGGAATGCCCGATTTAGGAAGTAACGCCAATCGTCCCATACTGGTGAGTCACCGACCACTCCCAGCAGCACAATGTTGGCCATTGTGAAGAGCGGAATTATGATGTTCAAGCAGAAAATGGTAACAATCGCCACGCTGGAGTCGTTGAAACATTTCTCAAATACATGTACGCCAGGAATACAAGCAAATCTGTGAATTTAAAGTGGCAATCATAAAATTTTCAGATACATATGTATGTATGTATGCTGGTATGTTTGTACCTTAGACCGTACCGTAGGCTAAGTATTTTTACAAGGTAATTTCTTTTTAATCTGTTCGGCGAAAAAAAAAAATCCTCGAAATTTCCATGCTAAAATACTTTACACTCAGATGTGATGGCGAACTTTTTTGTTTGCTTGTAAGGTGGTACGGTCTAAGGTACCTACATATACATATCCCATTTTTCACTCACGCGAAGAGCAGCGCCAGCACAAAGATACCTGCAACATTTTGGCGAGCAACAAAGACTGGCAATCCGAAGGCGAATATGATAGCACCACAGACCAATATGGCGAGCAGCATGACCTGGAAAAGACGCATTAAAATGCTCGTTTAAAAAAAAATTTGATATTTGTTTCTCTTACCAGAAAGTCCCAAACGAATGCCACGCCCCAGTAGGTAGCCAAATTAACGCCGCATAGCTTCTGTTGTAGCTTCTCGCCCTTAACACGTTCGTTGACTAGAAAAACAGAGGACACCGCAACCACTAAACTGAAGGCAATCAGTAGTATAAATACCATAGAAGAATCGCCGGCTTGACGTAAACTAAACGACGCAGCGATTATAATTTTAAGAAAAAAAGCTAATTGATTAAGGATTTTGCTAGCTACTTCTTTGCACTTACACTGAAGTCGTACTTAGCTCCACCGCTCCCAGCTTCCATGGTTCGTTGAAAGCTGTGATGCTGAAATTATTGTCTCCCAACTCCACTTGCAACAGTTTCGTATTCAAATCGTTGAGCCAAGCCATCATAGCATGGTAACCCTTATTGTTGTACCAAACAATGGCATTCGTGTCGTTGAAGGAATAGCCGCCATAGCGTTTCTCCTGATACTCATTCATTGATTTTAAGATCCAATGGAAAGCTGCACTCGAGTTGCCAAACTCTCGACATGGACTCTCATCGGAGCACTGCTCTGCCAAGCTATCATAAGCGGCATTTGTCAGCGTTCTATTCAATTCCATACTGAACATTTGCGTTGTTTTCGGATATAGCTCGCGCGTGAAACTTATCGTTTTGTCATAATCGTCCTCCAGGCGATAAGTGACAAACCACATGGCGAACAGTTCGAATATCGCTGGCAATACAATGACGCACATCAAAATGCGATAATTTCGGCTGAAGTGTAGAAGACGTTTCCAAAGTAAATTTCGCACAGCGGTTAAGAAACACAATGACAAACTGCTCACAATATTAGCCCCACTCGAGTTTTTCAATTCCACTGGCCTCATATCCGACTTGGATTTGGCGGCCGTAAATCCATTTTCATGGTCTTTATGCAACTCCGAGAAGATTTGTGCTAAATTACGACTCTCGACACGTAAATCCGAAATACGGTCACTAAGTTGTAAATTTTGCAGATAATTCAGGAAATCGATTGATTTACGTGAGCCATTCTGGTCGTATGGTATTTGGAAGCGTATGTCACCGGTTTCTAACCAATCCGGTTCCTTGAAGCTGGCCAGTACTTCTTCAGCGGTGTTTCGAATTTCAGTAATAGTTTGAGTATCGTTGCAATGGATCAGCACGTCATAGCCTGAGGTGCAGAATTCCTGAAGTGTCGCCGGACTATGTTTGGCAATGATTTTACCCTGAGAGGAAGATGTGTTAGATTATTAATTTTTATACTGCGGGGGAAGAAGGGACTTCGATGCAATAGCTGCACCTACAATTTCTTCACACACGGTACAAAATAATTGATGGAGTGGGAGCTGCAGTTTGTCTCACAAAATTTACAAGTTGCTGTCCTGTAAAAGCACTAAAAATTTAAAGCAGAGTAGGAGACTTACATTTTTCATGATCACAATAACGTCGCTCAAAAATTCAGCTTCGTCTAGAAAGTGCGTAGCGAAAACCACAGCGCGTCCCTTGCGCAAGCGTTGTATAAGCTCCCATATATCTTTACGCGCCTTCGAGTCGACACCGTTACATGGCTCATCCAATATCACTACGTTTGGCGAACCTACATATGAATGAAAGAAAACCTGGGTTAATACCGCAAGTGGCTACTGCATGTCCTCGTTCGTCACTTCGTACCTATGAAGGCCAACGCCACACAAAGTCTACGCTGGTAACCGCCGGACAGTTGAGCAGCTTGGTAATCCTCATATTTGCCAAATTTCAAACTTTTCAGTGTCTTATCCACTTCCGATTTGTAATTATGCTTTAGCTTGATAGAAGCATACAATTCCAAGTGCTCACGCGCTGTCAAATTTGGTATTAGAATATTGTCTTGAGAGCACACGCCCACTTTATCGAACTCATCTCTGCTACTCATGGCTTGAGAGAGTATAACGCGACCAGTTGACTGTACCACTTGACCGGTGAGCATTTTGCTAAATATATATATATATATATGTGAGTGGGAGGATCGAACATATATCATTTTTTTCGCCCTTACATTATTGTACTCTTTCCGGCGCCATTGCGACCCAATAGGCAAGTGATCTTGTCCTTGGGCAGTGACAAATTCACATCGCTGACTGCAATTTGTTCATCATACAATTTGCTGACATTTGTAATTGTAGCGCCCACACCCGAATCCAAGTCTTCGCGTTGTACTTCAGTAAAACAGTACTCATCTGTGATGAGAAAAATATGCATAGAATTTAATGAAATTACGTCACTAAATGCCAGTGCTTACCATCCAAGAAGCGTCGCACCAAGTAGCCGATAAGCCCATAGATTATCGCATCCAATACTATCATGAAGAAAGCAAAGCCAAATTCACCACTAAAACCTTCTTGGAAGACTTGTACGAAACCCAAACCGATTTCCTGCAATTCCATACGCATAATATGGCTCCAGGCGTGTGAGAAGGCAGTGGTGAAGGATAAGTTGATGCAAAAGTTCTCAAATGAGTTAAGATGCGAGTCGAAGAGCAAAACTATGATGTAGGGACAATAGGAGATGAAAAAGAGTAGTGCCGTAGCAACGGCGCCAATTGTTGCCGAGGTGAAGAAAGTTGAGCACATATAGCTGAAAGTAAAGTAATTTCAAGGTGTGTATACTACATGCAAATTTCTTTATTACTCACCAAAAAGAAATCAAACAACCGCCAAACACAATCAGGAAGAACATTACGAAGATGAAGGAGGCGTACATGAGCAAACCGCCAACATAGAGTATAGCCGTTACGCCGACAAAAATAACAACGAGCTCAACAAATGTGACCAAAATCCAGGATGTGAGCTCTGAGTAAGGCTTCATACCCATGGAGCGCATGATCTACAAATTTAAATTGTGTGAAATGTACGGTCCACAAATCTGTAGTTCAAAAGACTCGGTATACCATAGTGTTGCGACTTTCGCGCATCCAAATAAAGTGACGCACGCAGCTAGCAATTTCCGCTACCAATCCCAGGAAAAAGGCGACTTGTATCGCCTGTGCCAAGTAAATACCTGTTTTCATGCTACAATAGATTTTTTAAAGCAAATTTAGAGATTTTTTTTTTACTTTCTTTTTTTCCAATTTCCATAGTAAAAGAATATCTATGTACTCACTCATCGTGCGTGTAGGCGGGATATGGAAATTGTTTCGTGTGCATTTGCAGACCTTCTACGCCATATTTGCTCAATGCGTCTGTATTGCCGCCACCAAACATGCCAATCAAATCGAGCAGAGCTTGTCGTCGCTTGCGTGTATGTACCTTCAGATCGTCTGAGTTGATCATGGTTTCCATTGAATTTGCATTGCTCGTTTTGTTTTGAGACTGTACAAAGTCGTCGGTGTCATCTTTTTGCGGTGTCGACCAATCATCATCGTCTTCGTCTTCACCAAATCCGCTACCTGTTTCGATTTCAATTGTCAGAGGACTATGTGTGCCCAACTCGAAAGATGTCTCTTCAGTCACATTTTTATGCAAAAGTTTCATATGTTTTATGATGCCCATATCGATGGCATTCTTTATCTGTACAAAGCCGCGATGGTATTTCATGTCGCGTATCATACTACCCGCTGGGCCTGGGAACCAAAAACGATTTTTATTTTCGAAAGTCGGTTGAGTGTTTTCGGTATCCATATGCAGTTTGTATGATACTTCGTTATCAGTTCTATTGAAATATGCCGCAGCAAAGAATAAGCGCTTCTCATTTAAATCATACGCAGTGAGTTGCAAATCTTTAGCTGTTGCCACGGGTATGAAACGATCCACCGAGAAACACTCTAATATATTCTTAATTGTCATAATAACGTCGTAGACAAGTGGATCGGTTTGTATACGATTGACAATGCCGACAATTTCATCGACATCAATATCGTCACCGATGTAGGCGCGCACAGTTGGCGACGTGGCCAACTTGAGTAGGCTATCGAAACTCTTCTGAAATTGTTCATCTTCGCGCAATTTGGTGACTATATCGGCAACCGCAACTGACAGCCGCTTCAGGCGATTCAACTCCTCGAAGGTTGTGTTTGCCTGGAAGGAAAGGGTAGACAATGAGTTTTGGATGCCCTTAGATTTTGTTATATTTTGACCCCTCAAAGTTTAATAACCTGATGTTTTATATCCGATATAGGACAAAGGGTATAAAAGTATCCACACAGCTCAATTGTTAATTTCTCGAACGGATTTAATGCAACTAGTATCGGTGGAAGCTTTGAACATTTGATAAAATATTCCTAACATCGCTTCATTGATCTACATACATATATGTATACTATATTTTTCAAAAACGAAAAACATAGATTTTTTGAGTTCCGAAAACTATCGTAAGATAGGAAACCTTTCCAAAAATACATCATAGCGCTTAGGCTAAAAACTTAGTGGAGCGGCGAGCGAAGAGCATCGAGCAACGCGTCGATTACAAACGTAGTATATGTTTCAATGAGAGCGCGCAGAGTGAAGAGCACAGCGTTCATACACGTTTACAATTGACGCTTTGCTCGATGCTAAGCTCGTCGCCTTGCTCGCCGCTCCACTATGTTTTTAGCCTTAGGAGTACTAGTGTAATAAAACCGGTAAAAAATGAAAATTTTTTAACTTTTATAAAAGTGTCCTTAGACATATTGGCCTGTAGTTATAATCAAAATAAAGTCGACTCTTAAGTTAATTGCAGCTTTTTGATATAATTTTCAATGGGTTATCTGTCCAAAAAGCTGCAACTTCTACTTGGCCTTTGACGTACGCCCTTTTTGAACCAATTTCAAAAAACAAAAGGAGGAGGTTATCTATTCGACTTGTTACTTTGTTAAATTTAACTTAAAACTTTGTTTGTTAACCAATTTGGCCTTGCGTGAAGGACAGACCCACAGTGGTCCCATTTAAATGTTATCAAAAGTGGGCGTGGCGCCAACGACGAGGTATATCTCGGTAACCGATTTATCAATTTCTATCAGAATTGGTATAATTATTTCTTAGAATCTAGCGAAGCTCGTTATTATGGTTTTTCGTGGACCAATCCTTTAGAAAGCTACTAGCAAGGCTTGGGGTGTTTTACTTGCTGGCATTTGGTGCCGTTGGTTAATATTAGAAGAATAATGAACAAGGAAGTCTATCTCCATATTCTCCAAACAAATTTGCCGGACTTTGTAGACAAAAGTGCATACCCTGAAGAAGAAGTTCTTTGCCAGCAGGTTGGAAATCCAAAGGATTCTGAAAATATTCGACACCTTCGGCTGTTTGAGCAAAATTTTCCCGTAATGCAGTGGCCAGCACAAAGTCCAGACTTGAACGCAATCGAAAAACTGAAACCACGGAGAGGATTGGCATAGCACAAGCAAGCTCCGAGTAACATGCAAGAGCTTTGGAGGTGAGTAAAATTATATTGGGGTACTATTCCAAGCGAAATCAGAGAAAACTCAGTAGGGAGTATTCCCAGACGTATGAAAATCCCAATTTAAAACAAGGGCGTATCCAAACAATTTAATTTAGATAAAAAATTTTCTCAGCTTACATGCATCATAATTGACTGAGTCTCCTCCGTGACGGGCGCATATAAAATCTTGCCATGTATCAGGGGTTTCACCACATTCCAAGTTAGCTTGCCTGTGGTTGTGGTAGTAATGTTCAAGTACAACTGTTTGCAGTATTTGGCTGAAAATTATGAAAATATTTACATTCAATAAGCAATTTTTAATCCCAAAATCTGTATGAACTTACTAGGCATAACATTGATTTCGTCGTCATTCACTTTGCTGAAATCCTCAGTGTCATAAAGAATATCATTGACTAAAGGTATGGTATCAGTGCTGGGGAACGGATGGCCACACATCAAGTAACCGGCCTTCACAAAGGTTCGACGATCTGCGGCAAAATAAAAACTGATTTGTTATCATTGCTGCAGGTTCATTAAAACCAATAGAAGGATGGTATTGGAATAAATGTATGTACATTAGAGTGGTCCAAAAATGTCTGTGAGATAATAAGGTCAGATTTTTGATGCCGCCATACTCCTATTTTTTTTTTTTTGAAAAAATAAAATAAAATTAGCGAGTGCTCAAAGCGCTTAAAGTTTTCCGTGAATTTTATGTGGAGAAAAAACAACTTTTCGTAGAAATAATGAATCATGAAAATCATTATTTTTCGATCGGAAAACTTTGCTTATCTTCAGGAGATTCCCAGTAATAATACGCAATTGTTTCTTTATCCATTTTTTCATGGTAACTATATTTTATAGATGCTCCAAAACCTCCAGAAAATTCAATGGGGGGACCAATAAAAAATCTTTAGAATTAAAAAATGGTTAAATAAATAATTGGATATTAATATTGGAAGTCACCTGAAGAGGACCACAGTTTTTTTTATATCATTTCTACGAAAAGTTGTGTTTTCCCCATATAAAATACATGGAAAACTTTGAGCGCTGTCAGCAATCCATAAATATATTTTGATTTCAAAAAAAAAAATTAGGGGTATAGTTTTTTCGGTGACAGCATAAAAATTCCGACTTTATTGTTTTTGGACCACTCTAATGTACATACATACACATGTGTGTAAATAGGAATGTAGATACCTGAAAACAGCCGCCTTATATCGAAAGTGCCATTCAGAAAATCCTCCACTTGTGGTACTACACCGATAACATCGCCGATACTTTCTGTAAGTGATAACCAAATGTCAAATACCCAAATGAATTACACATAATACATAATTACTATTTGATTACACTTTAACACTAATAATTTAATAACTGCACTTCAAATTTAGTTAGATAAACGTGATAAAGGTATTTATGTGGATATTCTACTGCATTAAGTACGTAGGTAAGTACTTACGTCGTATCTCATTAAAATGTCCACCCGTGACCACAGCCGTAACGGCATTTATAAAATTCGCCTTTTCCGGCAAATCGATGACAGCGTCAAACATGCGATCGTCAGTGACAAAAATATTCACGATATCGATAATTGGTTTCATACTAAAGTGTGCAATATAAAAAAAAATATATATATATATATAAAAAGGTGGGTCACAAAATTTGTATGAAGCTACTGCACTTCTATGGAAAATAGCTTTGGAGGTTATTATATATGTAATTATGTTTGTAATAGCATAGACAGGCGGCAGCGTTAATCCGGATTTACGAAGCAGTTGATATAATCCAAATTGAGTTCCAGGACCAGAAAATTAAATTTTTTAATAAAACTAATAAATTTGTTCTATTAATTACTCCAATTTTATATACCTACAATTGTACTTGTTGGCTTGCTATTCAATAAAAAATTAACTCTAAAAATTCAATTAACTTTAAATAAATTAAAACAAAATAAAACACTAAATATGCAGAGCACCGTACAAAAACATATAGCCAAAAAGTAATGGTAAGTGTTAGCTACTTCATATTTACACTTTATTACTAATGGCCTACAAAACTGCTTACCAAATTTTTTTTCTAAAGATGCTGATTAAAAGGTTAGAATTTTGGCGAAATTTTGCATAATTTTTGCACCAAGTCTGAAAATCAGATTTATCTTTATGGTGTTTGTTAAGTGATCAACTATATATACATAAGTACAAAATAATAATAAATATTAAATAAATTAAGAAAATTAAGGATTAATTAGGAAATTAATTAAATTAAGGAAATAATTAAGGAAAATTGGACAAAACTCTCTCAAATATCGGGTCGCAATTTTTATGTGGGTCACTGTATATTTCTTGGGATTTTCTTTAGTTTTCATCGAAAATGCCCCTGATCCGCATTAATTTCGATAAATATTGCGAGATAATTCCAAATTAACAGGTTGATGGGGATCAATGCTGCCGTCTGTTCATGCTTTAACATACATACATACATATGCATGTACTTACGGTGCATTTTTCCAGCTGGTAGTCTCCTCATACGGATTTGTGCTCATGCACTTATTTTCCAAACTACAAATATACGAATAAAAACTGGGTAGCACTTGATTTTTAGTGGGCAGCAGACGTGTGGCAAATTGACAGTCTTCTATTTGTTCGGGACCGAATTTGAGTCGAATGAGGTAGAGCAGCATAAAAATCAAGCAAGGCCAGGCTACTTGCACAACGGTCATAACCTAAATAAAAAAAAAAAAAGATGAAGCACAGAAAGTATGTATATCAAGAGATTTCATTGTGAAAAGGTACTAAATAGCGAAATAATTTGTTTTATTGTTTCACTTCTATGAACATTACCGGTTGACGCAGGCGCACAAGTCCATCTTTGCGCAGCAATGCCTTTAATTGGCTAATGCTGAAGGAACGTTGCAATTGCATGTTGTTGTCTAATTTATTTTATGTTAAATAATTACAACTTCGGCAACATTTGCAGCTTAGAATGAATTACTATTGAGAAGTGTAAGGATACGGTAAATTATTCCTCCGCAACATTCGCAACGTTTTCGACTGAAATGTAAAAACAGTGGTTTATTTTATTAACTTCCATACTTACAATAGTATTTAAAAGTGTAGTGTAATTTTTGTTTACTATTTCAATAAGAGTGTTTTATTTGGTAATTTATTTTTATAACATGAAAAATATATGTAAATAAGTAAGTTCAAGATCATTCTCCGCCTCTCGTTTCCTCTTATTGTAAGGCTGGTAATTGCTCTGATAATCGCTTATATACGCAACCTAATATTTAACCCCAAACGATCCCACTTTTTATTTAGTTTATTGACTCGTAAATCGTAAATAGTAATAGGGTACAATTCCTCGCTAGAAACATGCACATAAATTTATATATAAATATGTACGTGTGTACATATAAAAATTATACAAGTTTTTATATTAAATTCACATCAGTTTCGCTTTCAATTATCTTTTAAATCTCACTATAAAATACTACTACGCCATCGACAAGTGTAAATTTGCTGTAATCAAATGATTGCATTGACTGCTGCTCTAGTTATTACGTTTTGTTGTGTGTGTGTGTTAATTTTGGAAAAGAAATACATAAATGTACCTAATAAAAATTTGTACCTAAAACATTCATAATGTATGTACATAAAATAAGTATTTGTTATTATTTATGCTCATATGAATTTTATTTTCGTTCGTACAACGTAAAAATAGTAAGCGAAATAATTAAGGAAATTCACGAATTCGGCTCAAGGTATCTGGTATATGGGATCCAAGGGTTCTATGATTTCTAGGGCATCTAAAGAGCTTTCGAAAATACAACAATTGGATCTATGTATCTCCCGAAAGCAATGATCCAAAGAATCATCGATTCAACAACTGTTAGTTGGATCTCATCTTTGCTTCTAGAAAGTGATATTTTAGCGAATATTCGCTGCATTGCTGTATGCATTTAGGGCCGTTTGCACCATCTCCGCTTAACGCTAATCCCCAGTTAAACAGTGTTACCGACACAATGTTAAATGAATGGAGTCAGTAACGTCGGTAAAGATGTTTAACTGGGGATTAGTGTTAACCAGAGATGGTGAAAACGGCCCTAAATCTCCTTCGCCTTGATCGCGGTGAACAAGCTATTCGTCACACTGCAGAAATGTGATTGCGATGTCGGTGAATTCTCAGACCAGGGAGAAATTCTATAACCAGTTAGCAACAATTTTCGGATCGCTATCGCACTTTTTGACGCATGATATGAATATTTTTCTCTGCCAATATTGGTGAATATTAGGTGCGTTCGTTTAAAATCTCCAGCAGAAACCAACCAACTGCCAAATTCCGGCGAAATGTCATCTGTTCGCTCACAAGAGAAAAATATCCAAAATAGTACGCGAACAGAAAATTTGCAGAAACTTGCAAGTTAGACGAACAGCTGATATAATTTTTGTTTACATTCAAAAGTGTAAAATTTAAAACGTACGACAAGTTATCACAAAGTGTTATACTGACCAGTTTATTGATTAAACAAATAACTACTTATTTCTTACAAGTTTAATTAGTCGAATTTTGTAATTTTTAACTTCCAAACCATCAAACTCAATTTTGTGATTTGCGTAAATGCCAACCAGCTGTTTTTGATCAGCTGTTTTCCTGTTTGCAAATTGCTGTTGGCAACAATTTTTCCAGCAGAAACCAGCAGCTTCCCTTCAAAATGAAATGTCACTTTGCTCTCTCAATTTCCCCTACTTTGCAAGTTTTTTGCGTGCGCTAACGCAAAAACTTGTAAGTTTTGGTTAAACATGAACAATTAACAGCTACGCGAACGAACCTATTTTTACACTTCACAATTTGGTGAAAAGAGGCTCGGTTTGGATGGGAGATAACTAATTTTTCATTGTTTTTTGTTAGTAAAACTCCTAATAAACTTCGCTCTGTCACTTGAAACCAGCCACTTATATGGAGTAGCATTGGCCCAAATCCGCCTTTTTAGAATTTTGATTGGTAATAGAAAAAATATGGTTCATTATGCTCTAAAAACAATCTGGGTGAAAGATGACAATTTTTGGTCAACGTCTTAGACTCGCCCAAGTCCATCCAAGTTCAATATGCTCAAATAATAAAATTTAATAAGTGCATTGATTAATACATTTTTTTTTAAGTAAAAGTGCAATTATCTTCGAAAGTATTAGTAATTTTAGAGCATAATGATCCATATTTTTGCTACTACCAATCAAAATTCTAAAAAAGCGGATTTTCGGCCTACGCTAATATACATACAGATGTATATATACATATGTATGCAGGCATTTGTAGTTAAATAATTAAGTTCAAAGTAGTTTGCATGCATATTTGTCAAATGCATGTTCTATTAACAGTTATACAGTCATAATAATCTATAATTGTATATATGTATGTATGTGCCTAGAAAGTTTAGTTACAAAATAATAAAAAACTACATATTTTACATGCAAGTATATATGTATGTATGTATGTATTTGCATACTTTTATATAAATAGACTAATTTATTACAATGCAAAGTACTGACTAACGGATACTAATGGTTATTTTTATCAGTGATATATGTATGTAAATGCTTTAATAAATTTTTTTATATTAAACAGTAAATACTATTTTAACTAAATGAATTAAATATAATTAAAACAATGTACGCTTTTTAAATACGGTAGCCGAGTAGTTAGAGTTGGTAGCACCAAAGTTCGATCTCTGTTCCAAGCAAAAATAAAATGTTTTTTTCTAAGGACGGTCTCTCACCTAGTCAGACAATGGAAAACTTCCGAGTGTAGGTCTAGGTTTGGGCAGCGTGTCTTCTACTTCTTTCTTTACACCCACTTCTGCCTGGCTAACGCTACAGAAGTCTGGTAGCCTAACCTTTATTGATTGCCCTCAGAGGGGAGCCTATATCGATGCGAAATAAAAATTCTTCTCAGTCAAGGAAGAATATAAAATAGAAATAAAAATAAATCTCTTTCGGTTGTATTTATACGCACATTTCATATGTAAGCACAGCTTAAATTTTACTTCATCCTTAATATATTACTCAGGCAAGTTGTGCAATTCACTACCCGGAACAAGATCACCCCCTGTCCGGGTACGCGGATAAAAATAACCCACTACCCGTTTCTTAAAATTAAATATAGATCTCAGAGGGCAACCAAATAATGCGACCATTTATATATCTCTCCGAGAGAAACCGTTATGTGACTGCTTAATATGATAAGTATCTATCCATTTATCCGAAAAAAACCAATATGGTTTTTCGATTAAGAGTTATTTTCGAGCCCTGACTTTTATAGAAAAATAACAAACAAAAAAATTTAATTGAAAAACATTGCGAATATCAAAAACAAAAATCAAGCCTTGTTTAAGTAACTGTATGTATTAGGATTGAACATTCTTTCTTTGACTATGCCTTAAAAAAAAATCAGTTTTTCGTTCTCCTATAAAAGTTGCAATTGGTCGATGGGCGGTTTTGCAAAGGCATCGAAGATATGTAGATGTCAGCGTTCACAAAAACTGCACATAACCACACTTTTTCTCTCTTCAGTGGTCCACCATCTTCTATCTATATTCTATCTGTCTCACTATTTTATGCAAAAATATTGTTCCTAAAAAAAGTAATATATATTTCAAATAATTACAGAACACAACTTCGCTTTTCTTGCGTGACTTTTGTACTTTTTTTTTTTAAATGTGTGTCTTTCATTAGTCAAATTGGTTGAGTTGTTAAGCAATTAAATTTATTATTAGCTTTTAATCTGATTAATTTTTCACGCTTTGTTTTACAGCGTTTTTCGCACAAAGATATCTAAATTAGGTACATATGTATGTATGTGCATGTGTAAATATGTGTTTTTTTATTTTTTATTTTTTTTATTTTTTATTTTTTATTTTTTTTTTATTTGTAAATATGTGTGAACATAACTATCTGCAATTTCTCACTTTTACTCAATTTAATTAAAACACGAACACTCTCGAAAGCGAAAAGTCAGCGTTCGTTGCATCGGCATATTTAGCAATTTGCTATTTTTCAAGTTGTATGTAAGCCATGCACATATCGCACACCGTCTACAAAAGAGACACAACTCAAAATAATACGTTTGCCATAAAATGCGAACAACTATTTCTTAGCGCATGATAATCACATGGGCAAGGGTGACTTTACCTTAGGTTTTTTTTTAACAAAATATAAATTAAAAATTTGCTCCAGCTTTTACCGAAATGTAAATAAAAGCTCTGCGTACATTTTTGGCGCAAAATCTCTAAAATGCCAAATTTTGAGTTGTGTCCCTTTTTAAGATGGCGTGCGATGTGTTTGTATTGGCTGCATAGCGCCAGCACGTGTCAAAGCCGCAGCATCAATAGCAACAACAACATCAAACTATTACCGCATTGGAAAGTTAAATCTAATTTTTTGTTGTTTTTCTCTTTTCAATCTTTCGCATTACATCAGATATGCACACAAATGCAATATTATGCAGTTTATAAATAAATAGAAAGAAAGAAAGAAAAAAAACAGGAGAAAAATATATGTTTTAAGAAAAACTAGTTAATGGGGTCAGGAGCAGCTAAAATTTGTGTAATGCAACAAACAATGCATAGACAATAGACAAATGTGAGTAAAAATGCTTAATAAAATAGATAGATAGAGAAATCCGTACATACAAAGTTTTCTCAGTGGTGATTAGGCATTTTGCGAATACTCAGCAGCGGTGAGCCGGTTTTGAACTCGCTGCTTCTTGTCGTCAATCAGCACCCTTCCTACGATTTTAATTGCCTTGAATTACAAGCAATAATATGTTAATACTAATTGCTGTGATTCTGTATTCAGAATTGCAACATATGTATGTATTAATGTATATACAAGCACATATATACATATATACGCACGATTATAACAAGGTGTTATTAAAATGCTAAACCGGGATGAAAGTTCATAGCTCACTTTATATGTACAATACATAAAGCTGTTTTTTTGTTTTTTACAGCAGATCGTGATCCGAAAAAATGTTGGTTTTCAAGGTTGAGTTGTGAATTTGT